TCTGGCCGTAGTACCCGTACTGCCGGATGAGCTCCTGCAGGTGTGAATTATTCCGCACATGAAATACTTTGTCGTCTATAGAGATGGCTATGGATGCCAGGACCGTGCACAGCACGGCTACTGATGCAATGTCCAGGACGGTAGTGCCTTCTTGCGATGGGAAAGTGAAAGGCTTGGACCCGCAAGGAGCCGCGTAGACCCATAAATCGATCATGTTGTTTTTGAATACGCAGATTCAGAATAGAACGGTGGCGGAATCGGCTTGATCTGCCCGCGCAAAATGGAAATGGACCATATTGAAAAATTGATGGAAACCGCATCCCCCAATCACAGTGTGGATCTTTACAAAGAGAATGGCCAGCAAACATGGGACACGGTACAGAATCCTGTGCATACATGCGCATATTCGCAAATACTTGTGTGTGTATATATATATAGACATAGACATAAAGTAGTCATAAAGTGTACACATACGTAATTATGCGTGATAAATAGACAAAAAGATGAATAGATGAATAAATTAATAAATCAATAGATAAATAAATAGATAGATAAATATGTACATATATATACATACACGTGGAGCCCGCTCTGCGCCCAGGCCTCACATCAGTGTTGGAGCAGGTCGTGGGGCCTTCAGCGTGCAAATCATACGAGCTATAATCTAAAGATTGTTTAGGGGACCACTATAGTGCTTCTTGAGGGGGATACTAGAAGTTTAGGCTATAGCTCATATAGCTCTCAACTTTGCGCTTCATTTGATGTGCAGGCCATGATGCCGGCCTTGCTTCTACCCTGGGCTGAGGTTATCAAGGTGATAACACCTGCGCAGAACCCACAGAGACCCAGCTGGTTTATCAATGCGCCTGGGCTGGTTTAGCATCTGTGCACGTGAACATGACTTATCGTGTAGCTCCCAGGCAAGAGATAGTGGCACTGGCCTTCAGCTGGCTTGGGGAGAGGAAGTGCCTGTCTCTTGAACATGACAGGTAGGCATGTGATGCTTGGTACGACACAGCTGACGGCAGGACCCTACTGGAGTTTCCATTCGGCAGATGCTGGGTGTTGTGCTCAGCGTTGTGAGAAGCCAGAGGCATGTTTTACTCGTTATGACGCCACCTGAGGTGCCAGTGTTCTCTATCCCGGCATTCCAAACATCGCTGGCCAGATGGCTTTCAGTTTCATCACCAATGCGGCTGCCTCAAAGTCCGCTGATGACGATCTTGGTTCAGAAGTGTTGCAAAACTCCAGTCATTGCAGCTGTCAGCTAAGGAAAAGATAGAGTCAGGCGGCGCCATTCGTGTGGGCTACCCGATGTTGCTTTGGCATGTATTTTGAGGGCACTCGCAGGCCTTCAATGCGAAAGGTTAGCTCAGCAGCCGGAGTGGTCACACCAGAGAGCAGAAGAGGTTTCTGTCTCACAATCGTAAATCAAAACCAGCCCGAGAACTAGGTAGGACCAGTTGACTGAACAAGATACGCACATGCCCTAAGTTGCATGCAGTTGTGGCTGCCAGGGACATTGAGGTCCTCTGCGCTGGGCAGTACTTGAGCCAGGCGATTCAAAGTCAATCAATTCTTGTAGCCAAGTCTACCCACCGAAATGTATGGTCGCATGGAATTGTGTAATTGCCTGGTCGGTAGCCTGCTGCTCTGATGTTAGTAGGGCCAAGCCTGATCAGGTGGCCATCACTGGGGAAGTGACCTGCATGAACTACATCCAGGAGGTGTGCCAAAACCTTCTTGTTTCACAGCCTATGAATATGCAACCTTTTGCAGGGTTACTTCGAGCTCCGGCTGGACAGACCACTGCCCCCTGGCCAGCAGGCATTCACCGCCAGAGCCCTCAGTGCTGTTCTCATGCAAGCATCGTTGGCGTGGCGGGGTTTTCGTGTTAAGGTCACCAGCACCTGTCCGGCAGCCGTGAATGACAACATGTTCTACATCATTATCTTGACGCCGACCGGCCAGGCCAAACATTTAACCAAAAGTTCTCCCAACAACTTGGTTCTTGCCTGAATGAGGTGTCGGATGCAGCGATGAGTATTCCGGGTCTGCGGATCCAACACGGCCTGCCGATTTCAGCGATGCCTCTCATTTGGGGCATGGCAGAGCCCAACAGGCTGCCTTGCTGCCGAGAAGCAGGTTTCAGAGGAACATCCTCTATCCCGAGAGGGAGAACTTAAGGAGAATCTGGTGCCCTTTTCCTCATCAGTTGCAGGTTTGCAAGGAAGCACCCGGCTTGGTAAAATCGCCAACCCGCACAACCTGACCGACCTGTATGTTGTTACACCGATCCTAATTATTGCCAAAATGTGACAATGTGGCCGTCCCTTTCGTTCATCGGCTACTGCCGCCACCATCTTTTCATTGTCAGCATGATACTGCGACCACTGCCCGACGCGGGTGTTACATCTGCTACTAGAACAGCATCAATACTGGTCCTGTTGCTGCTGTTGTCAGGAACACCTTCGTGAGCACTGGCATTGAGCTGCTTGGAGAGCTTCCACTCAAGGCTGCGTGATGTTTTTCAGTCCTGAAATGCGGATCAATGGCAGCAGTCTACTTTAGTGAGCGACTCGCAATGGTTACGACGATGTGCATACTTGTCCTAGTCTTCATTGTAGTTGTTCGTATCACCAGGTCAAGAGTAGCATGCTATGCATCATCACTCTTTTTTTGCAAGATTTGTTTGTTTGAAGAGTCCAGGATCCGCCCATCATGAGCGAGATCATTATTCAGATGCCTCCTGATTTTAGCCACCAGGTGGGTGTTGCAGTATGGGAGGGGAAGCAGCGAGCGACTTGTGCTGAAGGTCCAGAAGACAGCTCAGTTGGAGACCTTGACAGAGCCGCTTCCACGAAGAGAAGGCCAGTTGCGAAGAGCATGGGATGGTGGCAGAAAGCAGCGAGTTTCCATTTAAGGCGGCTGGTTGGACGTCACCGACCCTCGCAGGCTCTGAGATTTCCACTTTAAGGCTGACAGGTTCGCAAGTTCCAAAATGCATCTAAGGCTCAGGCTGCTCATGGATGAAGCCACAATCCAGAAGCTGGCTATCGGTTCATACAGGCTTGTTTTATGCAATGAAGTGACTGGGGCAACATGCCTGCCCAGAGGTTCCAATGGCCTATTCTGGTGCCCGCCGTAATGCCAAAGTACAATGTCCTTGTCTCAGCTGCTGCGTCATGCGGTCCCACAACTTTGGTTCCAGATGGTGGGAGTCAACTTCATTGTTTGAGAATGGTGGACTTGGGTTGTGGACAAGAGCTGCGCACGTGCCCTGCCAAGATCTGGGAGCTGACCGTCTGCAGTCCAGCTCTGATGAACGAGTCTTGCACGGGCTCTGCTGATCCACGAGTGGCGGCCTCGACACAGCGCGGACACGGTGTCAGTTGTAGAGACTCAATTCACTCAGTGGGCTAGGCTTGTTGCAACACTAGAGTATTGAAACGGCTGCAAGCCTGGGCGCAGTTGGCGGCTCTTTCCCCTCTGAGTTGTCTGCCTTTGATGCCAGAATGTGAGGCTTTGGTGACGTTTCCGCTGGCAGGCTTTGGAATGGGTGAGGCTCCAACAGTTCAGGGTTGTGGCGGGTGCCCGACAGTTCCGTCTTGAGCGCACCGGTTCCCCAATGCTTCCTGTATTGTTGGGTACTTGTAGTGATGTTGGTGATGTTGCAAATCCGTACCCTAGCATGCCTGCCACCACCTGCCTGAGAGTTGCACATGTGTTTGCATGTAGTTGACCTTATGTTCAGCATGTGCCGGCCAGTCTCACCCATCTTCGATTGCCTTTACTCAAACTGGTGATGCATGGCCGGTGCGGGCCAATTGGTCGGCGGCGACCTCAGTGACAGGTGGTTTCTGGCCCATGTGCCTGACCTGAAGTTCTGTTGACTTTGTTGTGCACTTGGAACGTAGCTACAGGTGCTTGCAATCATTGTGGCCATCGCCTCGAGACATCGTTTGCGGGAAGCCTGAGGTTTCACTGCTTTGACCCAAGCATTGTGAGCTCGGTAAGTTGGCTAAGCTTATCCAATAGTGCAGCCTGCCTCAATACAGGACAGCTCACAAAGCTGAAGGTGCTCGCATGTCTCAGGCGCAAAGAATACGTTGGCCAGTCCAGTGTACTCAACACTGACAGCTTCACAGGTTTCTACATAAGAGTCTACAATCCATCAGCAGCCTCGCCTCAAAGCGCTGAGATGGAGCACGGCACACCAGGTCACTCAATTCAGCAAGAAACAGTTCGGTACAATTTGCAAAGATGATGCAGCCATGTCGGACTGCGTAACCAAATATCACTTTATCGTCGACTTGCTATCCGACAGGCATCGTGCGCACAGTTGCACGGGGCGTAGCAGTGTTTTCAAAAGAAAACGATGCAAGGGCTTTGCAGCCGGAGCTGCTCCCTTGCCGTTAATGCAGAAGGTTTCACCGCTCCGGATCTCGCCGTATACATCCAAGACGTCAGGTGAAGATGCAAAGTGCATGGCGGCTCTTCGCGACTGAAGTTGCGTTGAGTCGATTGGCCGAATACTGGCATGGGCAAAGTCTGGATATTCAAGCGGACCAGCTAAGGTACCTATGCCCGTGCTAGCAGGCCATCCTAATGTGGAACAGCGTTGTCTCACTTAGGTAGGAGCAGTTGAAGACCCATGGGACATGTCTCCAAACATCCAGCCAATCTTGCGCTGGTGAGAGTTTCTGAAGCCATGCCGTCAATCTGCCCTCAAACGCATCTGGACACTCTGCGCTTTGAAGTCGGCCCCTGACTTCTTCTTGTGAACTTGTATAGCAAGCTTATAAGAGGAATTAGAACAGGAGTTGAAATGTGTAAAGCGTCGTGGCACCTCATGTATGTCCAGAAACTTGCTTCCAACATGCTAGCATCCACGTGCTCAAACATTCGTGTCACCTTTTCCTGGCTTAAACATCAGACGCGGATGGCTTGTTTCGCTGACAGCTGGTGCCGAAGGCTAGTTCTTTTCACCTTCTCGAGCGATGGCGTCGACCACCTCCCCTCGACCTTCCCCACGCGGCTTGGACGCCGAAGGCAGGCTTGCGAGACACTCAAACAAAGCCAAGGAAGATTTCAACTACGACTGCTGCCCTGCGTGCCAACAGCAGGAGGTGGCGGATATGGTGAGAGTCAGCCACAGCGCATGAAGCTTGGAGCTTAGTCTGTGACAGAAAACTAGTGTTGGAGGCTAGGCGCGAGGAGTCTGTGTAAATCATGTAGCGGCAACGCCTGTACAAGGAACGAGTTGCGAAGCCCAACTTGTGGCTCTGTGAGTTGGGTGAGAACAGTTGCTTGGAGCCACAGTTGAATTGCAGGCTGCGCTTGCGCGTGCCGTCTGGTGTTGAGGATGCTCCAGAGGCAGTCCATGGCACTTTGTGTGAGCAGACCCCTGTCGCCTGTGCTCTAAGGCGGAGTTCTACATATCAGTTGTTGACATACGTTGACTCATGCATCTTATGCAGCCGGCTGGGTTTCAAGGTGTGTTTTTTTGGCTAGCCTGGTGTCAGACAAAGGTCTTGCTTTGCTGGCTTTGGGGGCCGGGAGCCAGACAAAGCAGGAGCAATTTCCAGCTATAGTTGAGTAGCACGTTATTTGGGGTGCTCTAGTTGCCAATATAGACGCACATCATGTTCTCATTTTATGTTTACACATATATATATATATCAGGCATACTTGGTTCTGGAGATATTCCTATTCGCAGCCATGGCGTTGCGAGTTTCGCTGCGAAAGCTTCTGGCGCCCGCTGCCTTGGTTTGCCTATCCAGACACATGGCATGCAGGTGCTTGAGCTATAGTCTAAACTTCTTGAAGAGGGTTGTATAAGGGATTGTATGGGGGACTACTATAAAGGTTATTAAGGGGGATACTAGGAGTTTAGACTATAGCTCACATGATGTATTGGAGCCTAGCCATCCTCAAGCCTTTGACTTGGATTAAGTGCCCAGGGCCTTGACATTTGAAGACCTCAACTCATCGCCATGACTGTTTATCCAAGTTAGTGCCTCCAACCACCAACAGGCCCGGAGGCGAAGCCGTAAGACCAGGATACCACAGCCAGAGAGACAGCCGCCTGCCAAGGGTTCGGGCCTACTGTCTCCGAACTACCCGTGCGGTTGCCGGAGAGATGCTCAGCTTCGATGCAGGTACGTTGCAAAACTATGTTGCCTTTCTGGGCTTTCAGATTCAGAGCGCTGCTGCTTGAAGGGGCACAAGTACGTGGATACCATGACAGTAAGCAGCATCCAGTTGAGTTGAGATGCGCAACATTCCATGTTTCCCACAGGGTCGCAGGCAAGGGTTTAATCTGACAGAATACAAGATTAAGCTTCAGGTGTGATTTTAGACACGAGGTCTATCATCCTGCATGTCAGGATTGTCCGAAATAGTGCCATTACGATCCTCGAATGATGGACCTCCACACACAATCTGAGTTTCCATGTCATTTACCATTATCGCCATCTGTTTCTGCATCATTACCATGCCGAAAATTGTCGTGCAAACCAAGGATGCCTTGGCGCACTGCGGCGTGCCTTGGCAGTGGTATCACAAGTTCTGGGTGCAAGGGACGGTCCCGCCAAGTTCCAGACCAAACTTCTCCCATGTAGCCTTTTCCACGCCCGCGTCTGAAAGAGTACATCATTGCGAGAATTATATGAGCCCAATCGCGATCATGCATCAGGCCTGCAGCACACGGGTCGGCCAGCTGTGGCCGAGATAGGGGAGACATGGTTGCAATCAGCACCTCCAGATGTCGCAGCATGCTTCTAGCGACAGGGAACTGAGGTTTTTTCAGCACATGCTCGCTGTCATTTGTGCATGCCTCTCTGTTTTTCGGCACCCGAGGAACCAGATGTCTTGGAGGCGGAAGCCGGGCCCGATGAACCGTGGACTCCCACGCAATGCCCAGTTAACCCAATCCCCGGACAGATTGCAGGTTCATTTAATGTTGGCTTCGCATTCATACCGCCCCTCCGATTGATCTATCTCGGTCAGGAGTCGCGCAATAATGATACCAAACATGCTGACAATGTAGGTTTGAGCATCCATTTGGAATCAACTAAAATCTAACCCGAATTCGCTGTCCCGAAAGAGGACTATGTTTCGGGGATATTATACTTGTGGGTCTTGTTATTATTGTGTTCCGGCGGCATGTTCGAAATGTGGGTCGCGTCCCGAATGTCAAGTCAAAGTTATGTTGTGCCCTCTAAATCATTAACCCTAAACCTGAACCCTAAACTGTTGCCATACTTTCTCAGTGCAGGTCCTGAGCATCCTATGCTCCACTCCGATTTACTGGTTCTTAGTAGGGAAAAACGGTATTCTCAACCAACCACAGCAAGCCAAATTTCAGGGTTGTTCTGTTCTTTGCCCAGGTGGCTTGTCCACGTTTCTGATGAGGAGGGCTTGCTAGGGGAACTGTGCCTTGGTCTCACTTAGCATCTGGTAGCTCCTTCAAACTTTGGTCGTGCTTGCCGGGGCTGGGTGACTTTTTCATGCTTTGTCATTGTAGACGAGGATCTTGCATACAAGCAGTCACACTGGCTACTTGCTGACGCAGGAGTGCTGTCACTGTTGCGAAGGCTGCCGCGGCCATTCAGACAGCCACTGGACCGAATTCGAGCCCGTGCCAGGATGATGCAAGACTTCCGCAGGGTTCCACCGATTCGGACTTGCTGCTTTCTCAAAAATTGATCAACCAGGTTGGCTTCGCGGTGCTCCGCGGCGCTTCAGTGCTGCGCGCCAGAGAGCTCGAAACTGCCCAGGCAGAAGCAGACAAGGCCTCGTGGATCCCGTTCTGTTTAATTACTTGAAACTTTGACGTTGCTAGATGAGGCTGCGTGTTTAGGTGTCTTTTGGGACAGTTGCCTTTCTTGCCCCGCTTGGTGAAAACCTGACGGTCTGTTGGTTTCCATGGTTTCGACCTCTGTCTTGTTTGGAACCCATCCATTCAAGTTTCGTTTGCCGACGGCAATGGCCTTCCAAAACTGGTGAGCAGCTTGGGAAAACTCGACGCTTTACTGTCTAGCTTGCACCCGTAACAAGTCATTGTGGAATTTGCAGGGTTGTGCTCAGGCACTGGAGGTGGTGAAGACAGTCGCCAGGGATCTTGGACACACGGCAAAGTCTTTGGCACGTGTGCAGCCTTTAAATAAAAGCATGACGTGGACAGCTCTGAGAATGCTGTTGCTGAATCCAGGACTGGAACCCTTGGCTCCCTGGGCTTCTTATCTGCAGCATTCTGTACCGCACCATGTGCCAAGCCTGTCCCAATCGTACCCACTTCCAGTGCTTGTGCCAACCAATGCGCCTTGGTCATCTTAGAGCTTTCCAGATTGGACCCTGAGGTGACCCCAAAGCCCAAGCCGGCTGCAGGGAACCTCTTCCGGTTTCAGGCCAGAGGCCCAACAGTTCTCCTAACGCATGGCCATTGCACCAGGCGGTACAGCAATACTTTAATCGTGGCCCCTTGCATTTTGTGATGACAGATTTTGCATCAGTGGACCTACGCCAGGGTTTCTGGCTTCTTATTCTGCATCGAACTCACAAGTGTGAACCAAAACTTCCAAGCTCAATCGAATCCACTTGATCCTGTAGGAAGCCTCGTCATTCTCGAGCGGCCGGTTGGACATGACTTTTGGGCAGGTGCTGCTCATTCCAGAATCATGACAAGCGTTACAGGAGGTGGCTGAAAGGTTGTGTGACAAGCAAGACTGTCAGGAAAAGCGATCGTCCGGCCCCCTCGCTGCTCGTCAGGTCTGGCACATCCTTTTTAATTGGGGGACCCCGGTGCTTCTTCCTGCCAGGACCTTCTTCGCCTTTGTGAGGCCCTTTTCGACACGAACTGCCAGTGGCTCAGCAATATAATGCTGTCTTTCCGAGTGCATCTCCAACGCCTAGCCTCAGGCCAGCTGGCCAGCCGCGGTGCCTTCTGGAACTTCCCCGGCTCCGGGCGCGAGCACTGGCACCGGGATGGTTTGATGCCCTTGTGTCTCGGCTTCTCAAGACCGTTCCTGGCAGGGCTGACAGTTTTACGATTTCTGCAGCCCGCTCTCAAGGTTGACCGTCGTCACAACGGCTCGGCGATACCCCGCCGACGCAGGCAACTCAGCCGTGTACTTCTTGGAGCAAGAATGCGGCAGGACAATCACGGATGACCCAAGAGGGGCTCCTGCATATTGTGCAACTAAAGCTACTGGCTATACATTTTTGCTGTTGCCAATTACGGTGTGTTGCATTAGGCGGGTGCTTTCGTTTGGCAGAACCCTCTGCCGAGAAATTCTTGTCTAAGCGGTATCTGCGTGAAGATGTCTGTCCAGCACTTGGCTGGACCCTCTTACAATGCTTCTTGTAGCAGCGTGCTGTTCATCGCCGAAACCACCTGCTTGGTACAGGCGTTGCTGTTGGTGCCTTTGTA